CCTGAAGCCGGCCCGGAGCGCGATCTTCAGTCGCTCCGGGCAGAGTATCCTCGTTGCAGCCCCGCGGTGATGGCCACCAAGATCGACAAAGAGGCTTGCCGGACAGCGTACAACCTGGTGCGCGACGACGGCTCAGCCGTCATCTGGTGAGGAACTTTCCATTGCTCTCCAAGCCCCACTCCCCGAGCTCGCGAGGGGCCTGGTGCAGTGAGCCGTCTTCCAGACGGGGCGGATTAAGGGTCATCCCGTGCTGTCTTTTCGCAGCCTTAACCCAGGACAGCGTGGAAAGTCAGCGCTGGCTTCGCCCTAGCCAGAGCATCTTTTAGATTGTCCTGCTGGAAGCTCAGCACCGTGCAGCTACCAACGCTGATATGTGTGTGTGTGTTTTTCTCTTCTCCCAATCCAAAGGGTGACTTTTATATATGACGGCTCCACCATCGTCCCCGGCGAACAGGGAGCAGAATATCAGGACTTCATCCAACAGTGCACAGGTAGGGAGAAGCGCCTTCTGGGGAAATTCTCCGTCTCTTGGGAAATTGTCAAGGCCAAGGTAGGAGCCTGTGGCCACCCTGGGCTCCTCTGGCGCTGGAGGGACCAGATTTGAGCATATTAAAGCCTCATAGGTCCTTCTCCCCTCTGGACATCTACAGCAACCACAGGTGACCACCTGGCTTCCTTGCTCCCACAGTACCCTTTAAAGGCACGACAGCTCTTTTGCCCCCTATAAGTCATTAGTTTTCCACCGTTAGCTCACTCAGTTCCAAACTCCAGTGTCCAGCCCTCCCTGCTTTCCCTTTTCATTGATCAGTGAGCCAAAATAACAGTCTTGGAGTTCATTGTCGAAAAAAGAGACTGTCAGCTGTACCTTCCTTTCTCCTACAATCATTGACCATGTGCTGGTGATGTGTTTTTATTTGTAGAATATAGAACCTACAGATATGAAAGTGTACTTAACATATGATTCCATTTACATGAAGTTATAGAAAAGGCAAAGGTAATCTGTGGTGTGAAATGTCAGAGTAGTGGTCACATTTTCCAGTAGATAGCCACTGACTAGGAGCGGGCACATGGAACTTGGGAGTGGGGACGGGTGGGGTTGGAAATGTTCCATATTTTGATCTGGAAGTTGATTACACAGTTGCGTACATATGTAAGAAATCATCAAGCAAAATACTTAAGATTTGCAAACTTTGTGCCCTTCCCTGGGATGTGTTGAACCATTAAGGGGAATGAACGCATGGATGTGTAATCACAACCCACAGACAGAAGCAAAAGGTTCAGCATCGTTGGTAGTAGGGCCCCTTAAAGCTGAGATTGGCGAATGATATTTATACTGGTCTCTGGTCTCCAGCTTGGAAATAGATATATTCAGACAAAGGCAGTGAGCCTGGAGGTTAAGGTGAGGACTCAGAGTCAGCAAGGTGGGTTTGAATCCCCGTGTGACCACTTTCTAGTGGTGTGATTTAGGGCAGCTTAACCTTTTGGGGCCTTGGTTTCCTCACCTGTAATCTGAGAGGGCTGTTGTGAGGATGAGTGAGTCAGTGCGTGTAAAATTCTCAGGACAGTGCCTAGGCAAACGACACAGTCATTTGTGAAATAAAGAAAAAGTACACTCTTGTGCAAAGGATTGTGTGACAGCCCCTTTCCTTTATTCAAGTGATATTTACTCTAATTCAAAGAGTATTTATGGGGGGGTGGGTATAGCTCAGAGGTGGAGCATGTGCTTAGCATGTGTGAGGTCCTGGTTTAGAGACCAGTACCTCCAAAAAAAAAATTTTATGAAGTGTCTGCTATGGGCTGGGTGGTACTAAGGTTTTTTTCTTTTCTTTTCTTTTAAATGTTCTTTCAACTAAAACATCTCCCTGAGAACTGCCTCTAGATGTTCACTCATTGCTTTTGTATAGGGTTGTTTAAAATATCAGATGTGTAAAGTACAATAACAACCTGTATTTAATGAGGTGCTCGGGGCCTCTTGTGGAGAGCTGGCGGGGTCAGGATTGGAACCCAGGCCCCTGACTCAGGAGCCCTGTCTCTCCACCACTTCTCTCCTTCCACCACCGTGATGCTTTTGCAAGTGGAGTAAGTGTAGACTCCTGACTCTCCCGTGGTTTGGTGCAGAGCTAGGACATTCAGCAGCATTTTTTGCCTTGTTGACGTGAAGCTTTCTCAAAGGCCAGCTTCCTTCCTCTCTCGACAGTAAAGTAGCACTTTCTTTCCTCCAGACTGCTGTTCATCACCCCACCCCTCACCAGACTGGAGTCCCCTGCTTCCCCCAAGCTATTGTTCTCCATGGAATAGTGGTCAAATAGTAGAAGGTGACCCGGGGAAGAAAGAGCATCCTGTCAGTAGATTCCAAACAGATGCTCCTGGCCATCGGGCAGGCAGGGAGGCTTTGGTCAGAGAACACTTCCTCCTTCCCTGGGGCTTTGTGGTTTTCTCCTCTGACCCTTCCCCCAATGACAGGCCGGCAGTGGGGAGGGCCTGGTGGGTGAACTAAAAATGTTTCCCCTGCTGCTCATTGATCTTGTGAATGGGCCGTGGGATCTGAAGGCTCCGTCTGCTTTGGCTGGAAGTCTGCCTTCCTTCCTCAGCCATCTGTTGGACAAATGTATAGGCGAGTGGTGGTTGCCGTGTCTGCTCTTGTTTGTCTTAGAAAAGCTTGTTGTGTCCCACTGCCATGTCCTCATCACCCGGTGACAAAGGATTGTGAATGCTGACTTGTAACTTTCTCTATGCCAGACACTGCCCTTGACAATGCCTTGTCTCCCTTACTGAGCTTGTTTCCCCTCCGTAGGGGAGGCAGCCAAGGCCCAGAGATGTTAAGTGACTTGCCTGAGATCACACAGCTAGGATGTGGCAGAGCTGGGACTCGAACCTGGGCAGGCTGGATTCCAGGCCTGTGATCTCGGCCTCTTATCTCTAAGGAAGTGGTTTAGATTCTCATCTTCAAGCCAGGAGGCTCCTTCAGGGGTGCAGCAAATTCTGATTGGGGCTTGGGGGATTGTTAGCAGGTTACAAAAGACACTTTTGCCCATTTGTGTGATGCAGGGAAGGCTCTTTGTGGCCCTAATTCCCAGCCAGATGTCTTGACAGGCCCTTGGGTCCTGAACTCTGAAGACAAGCTCCCACTCTGACACTGCCTTCCTATTTCCAAACATCTTCTCAACAAGACGCACAGTGGATTTGGAAACCTGGAAACAGGACCTGGTCTCTCTTCCATTGGCACTGGGGTGGCAGGGTGAAAGGTTTATTCGTGGGCTCTCTCTCCTCTCTGACAGCCCCTCCTTGGGCATCCTCTCTCTAAAACCTCCTCCCCCTCTCTCCACCCTCTGGCTACTGTCTTCCTTCTCCTGTCCTTCCCCCAGGTTTTCCAGAAGGGAATCCTCCTGTCCAGCCTCTCCCTGTCATCTCTCCTCAGCCCCCAGGCTGGCCTCTCCTTGTCTGCAGGAGCTGTTTTCTGAAGGTCATGGATCTGGAAGGTTGCTGGGCCCTCACTCTCCTGTTTCTTTCTGCTGGCGGGATTTGGCGCTGTTTGTGCCCTGCACTAGGTCTTCTGGTGCTGGGCTTGCCTGTCCCCACTCCTCTTGCACTAATCACTAGGTCACCACATCTGCTCTTGCTTCTTGTCCCAAACTTCAGTCTATGTGGGATGGTTGCAGCTCTTTCAGGTGCAGTGAGAGAAGCCCAGTGCTGTTAGCTTAAGCAAAAAAAAAAAAAAAAAAGTCTATAGTTGCCTTGGTTGGAAAGTTTGGGGGTACTGCAGGTGAAACTGCCCAAGCTCAATCCCCGCCTCTCCTCTGACTCCCAGCTCTGCCTTCCTCCTGTATCACCCCTCTTGGGGGCAGGAGGGCACATTCTCCCTAAGTGGTGATGTACACAGCCACTAACCACCCCGGCTTCCAGGCCACAGGCAGAGCCATCCTGATGGGGCGAGAGAGAGATTCCTCTGCCAGTGAATTCAGCAGAAATCTCCCAGACTGGCAGACTCTCTTTGGGCTGCCTGGGTTCATATGCCCATCCTGAACTAATAACTGGGTTTCTGGCTGGCTAGACCTGGGTCAGTGCCCACCCCTGGAGTAGGGAATGGGCAGCCCCACCCAAACCAGGAGACAGAGTAGGGGAGAGTGGTTTCCTAAGGGAATAGGTAAAGGGGAGGCCATGCTACTTCCAGAAGAGGGGCAAACCAAAAACAGGTCCATAGCCCCTCCCTCCACCCTGCTTTACTGCAACAGTCTCTTAGCCCTTGGTCTTTCTTGTCTCATATCCGTTCCACCCCGCCTTGCTGGAGTAACTCTTCCTAGCGTGCAGCTCTAATCAAGTCACTCATTAACCTTCTATTGCTCCCCTCTACCCACTGCATTAAGCACAGGCTGTCTGCTTGGCATTCCAGTCAGTCTGTTCCCACCCACATCTCCTGCCCAGTAACCCCCCATACCCTTTTTTGTGCACCTGCAGCCTGACCCTGTATAACACTCCCAGCCATCAGGCCTGTGATTTTGGAGGTTCCTTCCAGGGGGAATTCCTCTTCCCTGTATCAGTCAACCATCAAACCAGCCTCCTGCAATCTCTTCTGTATTTCAACAACCAGGATCCTTTGGAATCAGAAAAACCCTAGATTCACATCCCAACCCTGCCTCTTGCTGTGTGGCCTTGGGCAAGTTTTCTGGTCTGTAAAATGGGAATTCTGTTGGTGCCTGCCTGCCTTTGATGGTGACTGGGGGTGTTAATTGAAATTAAATGTCTACAAATAAAAACTACAATGAGATATCACCTCACACTGCAGAATGGCCATCATTCAAAAGTCTATAAATAATAAGTGTTGGAAGGGATGTGGAGAAAAGGGGACCCTCCTATACTGTTGGTGGGAATGTAAATTGGTGCAGCCACTGTGGAGAACAGTATAGCGTTTCCTTAAAAAACTAAAAGTAGACTTAACTATATAATCCAGCAATCCCACTCCTGGGCATATATCTGGAGAAAACTCTAACTGGAAAAGATAAATGCACCCCAGTGTTCATAGCAGCACTATTTATAGTAACCAAGACATGGAAGCAACCTAAATGTCCATCGACAGATGAATGGATAAGACAGATATAATATATATAATATATATATATGAATATTAATCAGTCATTAAAAATGAAATAATGAAATAGTATGTCTAAAACAAAAGCACAGTGCCCTGATGCACATTGGCTGTTGTTACTATTACTTTTTATATCATTTGTACTCTCATAGTGCTTATGATGACAGTGTGCTTTCTGTTCTGAAGCATGCCAGCTCAGTGCACAGTAGGCACTCAACTCTGGGTTTGCCCACTGGAGGCGCTTGACCCCAGGTTGGCATGCAGCAGGCATTCGGCCCCACGTGGGCATGCATCAGACCTTTGGCCCTGGGTCTGCATGCAAGAGGTGCTCAATACATGGTAAGAGGGTGGTTAGCACAGAGGTTAAAAGTTTGGGCTGTTTCAGATGGCCTGGGTTCAAGCAGT